ATGATATGCCTTAAAACTTTTCCAGATGCACAGGTTTGTCTGTACTCAGAGTAAATTTTGATGTGAAAAAAGCAGCAATTTTAGCGAAAGGGGTCCACATGAACCTTAATGATGTTTGTATAACAACTTATGCATTAGTTGTGTAATTGCAGGTTCGCTAAAATCCCCAAGTCCAAGCTGGGAATATTATACTAACATATTATGTCCCATTTCCAAGAAACACTACAGAAACTTAAGAAACTGTTCACCAAGGATTTGTATAGCGAGTCTCACTGGTCTCACTATACAAATCATTGACTTCAACAAGAACCGTGGGGGTGACCCACCCGAGGACCCACCTTTAAAGACTCTTGATTTACTCATTGTTAAAAAAAATGTATTGTATACAGTACATGTTTTGTGTAATTTCTTTTGTTTGTCACAAACTGTTCTTTATATGATTTTAATTAGTTTAAGACACTGAATAAAGGTTAAGGACTGGGACGGGACTCTTCAAATATTTACGTATTAGATACAATACAAAGGTCAGAAAGAAACAGGCCGGTAACAACCGTTGCCGGATAGTTTTTATGCACGAGTAGTCAGGTGAAGGTCCGAGGTTATAGCCGAGGACCTTGACCTGACTACAAGTGCAGAAGAACTATACGGCTGTTTGTTTCCGGCCTGTTTTTTTTTTTTTTTTTTTGTTACCTTTGTTTTGTATCTGACTTGTACGACGTTTCAAGAAAGAAGTAGTACATTTTGCATTTAGAAGAGGTAGCAAAAGTAAACAGATTAGAAACTTAAATGGCCATATAGCAGTTAATTTAAGTTACAGTTTATACAAACTTTTTTTTTCACTTCCCTTCAGCCGAGAGCTTTTTTCTCAAGAAATTCAAGAATCTAAAATGCAACTTCGCAAGTAAGTAATGTATGAAAAACATTTCAGAGGTAAGCAAGCTAATATTTGATTTTTATTTGGGGAAAAAGAAAAAGGGGGGGGGGGGGGGGGGGGAGGGGGTAAAATAAATTTAAAATAAACAGACTTGATTTTTTTGTTGATGAAAAAATGCAGGATGTGCCATTCCATTTCCTCTTAAAAAATAATAAAAATCGTACGTTTGCTCCCAAATATATGAATTCAATATATATGAATTCAATATAAATCTTTAAAAAATGTAAATGAAATGTTATGAAAAAATGGATTTTGTCTTGTTATTAGATAAATATAGGCATATATTTTGGATTTTTTAAAACATTTGCATGCTAAGTTAAAGGTTTTTATATGTCTCTAATAGTGTTGATCAGTATTAGACACGTGTCACAATATGATCCAATCGCAGCTTACCGTCCAAAATTGGTGACATAAGTTGAATGAATTTCTTTAAGATTTGCTGCCTATTTGAACATGTATTACACGGACACTTTTTATTTATATGATCAATTGTGCATTGGTGAGTTGATAGGGATTATATCTTTTGATTAGATTTGATTTTTTTATATATATATTTCCTGTCTTTTTATTGAAATATAAACGTCGGTACCAGCATTTCTTTACTTTCAACATTGTCCAGAATACTATTCATGTCCATATATTGAAAAAAAAAAAACATTTACGGACCAACCATTTAGCTTCAAAAGGGGGGTATGTTTTTTTCTCAGTAAGAAAATTATTTAGTTTTTCAACGCTATCACCCAAATATTTTTTTTTCGAAATGAGCACTATTATATATACGGTATTCGGAAAATCAGGAATCAGAACATTATTTTGTCATCTGCTTGACCACAATATATTTTTTCTCATAAAATTGGGGATCAGAATATGCTTTTAGGAAAAAAAATAACCCCCCTTTTGAAGTTAAATGGTCAATCCCTTAGTTTTGTTATGTTGTGTCACATGCTATAAATGTATAGTGTAATGGCAATAAAGATTTGGATTTGAATTATTATTGTTTAAAAACTGCGCAATACAATTGGGGTGGGGGTAGTGCAATTTTATGGAGAAAAACTTTAGACAAATATGTTAACCCAATAGAAGATGGTTGTGAACGGTTATGTGGTATTTATATCAAATTGCCCACCCCATTATGTATAATGGCTGCTTATATACCAACTACTGGTAGTAAGACTAATGATCAACTGTATAATGCGTGTTCAGACGAGGTCAATGAAATAAGACAAAAATTTGAAAATTGTGAGTTTATTTTTATGGGAGACATGAACGTATCTTTCATTAGGCATAAAGTTTCTCCAAGGGACAAATTTTTTATTGAAGCCATGCGAGAAATTGAGCTGGTGCTTCATGCAAATTATCCATTAATACCGACGTTTCACCATTATAATGGAGTTTCAACAGCTCAGATAGACTATATTTTACCTTTTAAAAACGAAATTTTGTTATTTAATACAAATGTGTTAGAAAGGAACCATGAGAACACTTCTACACATGATCCAGTAATTGATACAAATGTGTTAGAAAGGAACCATGAGAACACTTCTACACATGATCCAGTAATTGATACAAACGTGCTTGAAAGGAACCATGAGAACACTTCTACACATGATACAGTAATTGGAAAAATTAATTTTATCTTTTATAATGATAATGTACAAGATGAAACGGATATAGATAAAAACCGTCGAAATAATTTAGTCTTTAATAGTAAATTAAATTGGAATACTGTTAACATTTGCAAATATCAGTTATTAGTAGATGAAAAGTGTAATAAAGTTAATATCTTGGATACAGAAGATATACAATTGCAAGTGATAAAACTAGCTGAAATTTTGAATACAAGTGCCATACAATCAAATGAGGTAAAACCGAAGGGAAAACTGAGTAGTAAAAAGAATGGGAAACCTATTAGTGGAGACATTAAGAAATTAATTCAAATAAGTCAAAAAGCTCATTGGAAATGGAAAAATGAAGGAAGGGGGAAGGACACAACTTTATATATGGATTGTAAAGAAGCGAAAAAACGTAATTTAAGGAAAGCTCAAAGGCAGCTAGAGGCTGAAAACAGAAATAATATATATTTTGAAATTATGGAGAGTCACGAATATAATCAAAATCTTTTCTATAGACGTGTACGTAGGCAGAGAAGTAACCCAGTACAACAATTAACCAGTTTAAAAGTTAATGGAACTATTCATGATACATCTCGTGCTATTGAGAATGCTTGGGTGGATTATTTTGAAAATCTTAGTAAGGCATCAAAAAATGAACTTTTTAATGAATAGATATAAGAAGATGTGGTATGAGTGCCAATGAGACAACTCTCCATCCAAGTCACAATTTGTAAAAGTAAACCATTATAGGTCAAAGTACGGCCTTCAACACAGAGCCTTAGATCACACCGAACAGCAAGCTATAAAGGGCCCCAAAAATGACTAGTGTTAAACCATTCAAACAGGAAAACCAACGGTCTAATCTATATAAAAAAAACGAGAAACGAGAAACACTTATGAACCACATCAAAAAACGACAACCACTGAACATCAGGTTCCTGACTTAGGACAGGTGCAAACAAATACAGTTGGTTTAAACGTTTTAATGGTCGCAAACCTTCGCCCTACCTGAAAAAATAGTGTAACATCACAAAATAGAAAGACACACTAATGTGACTATAAAATATCAATTATAATGGCTTAACTCAATCAAAAGACATATGAACAAAAACAAGTGAACATACACTGAACGAATAAATTTGATCTATGACACAATTTAAATACAAAATGAATATAAAAAAAGGGGTGTTAGATGTAAAACAATATCAGAAAGACAACCATAACCTTGGACAAAATGCCGCCAAATAAAATAACGTACACAGGTAAATAAAAATAATTTTGTTGTAAGGTATACATGAAGTACGGAAATAATTTTTACAAAAATATATAATTTTGTAGTTCCTAGTACTTATTAATACTGAATAGTAATTCATAATTTGCGGACGACAGCCTCCTCTACAGAACAATAAGCAACCAAGCAGAATGCGACCTACTGCAGAAAGACCTAACGTCATTAGAGGACTGGGAAAATAAATGGCAAATGAGCTTCAATGCGAAAAAATGCATTGTAATCCAAATAAAATCCAAGAACCGTCCAGTGATACCAACTTATTACTGTAACAAACTATATGGACACACACTAGACACCATTGAAGCCAGCAAATACCTAGGAGTAACAATCAGCGATAACCTAACCTTGGACAGACATATTGACAACATAGTGGGTAAAGGAAACAAAACACTAGGCTCCATAAGAAGGAACCTAAAAGATTGCACTAAAACGGTTAAAGCAGCAGCATATTCAACAATAGTAAGACCTTCAGTTGATTATGCATGCACGGTATGGGACCCAACAAAACAGACTGAAATAAAGGCAATTGAACAAGTGCAGAAAAGAGCAACCAGATTTGTAAACAACAACATACAGACCGCGAACCTGGCTGTGTAACAAACATGGTAAAATCATTAAAATGGGAAAGCCTTGAAGACCGCTGGAAACAAAATAGTCTATGCATGCTGTTCAAAATACAACATGATCTAATCGAAATAGATCGGCACCAATATCTGACGCCAAACGGTAGCCGGACCAGAGGTAAAAACCGCTTCTATCAAGAAAGGCCACAACAGACGCCTTCGGCCAATCCTTCTTTCCAAGGACAATCAGGGACTGGAACCAACTGCCAACATCAGCGACAGCAGCAGACACAGTCGAAGGATTCAGAGCTGCCCTAAAGGCATGCTCTGCTAAAACATAGACAGAAACATCCTGTGCATAGTTTTATTTTGTATATATATAGAGAACGTTTTAAATGTAAATAGCCAAGAGAAAACTTTCTGTGTTGTCCGACACTGCGCAAAGTTTTCGCGGGACCTTATACATTCAGTTATTGAATCCGGTTCCTTACCTGGAAGAAGAAGAAGAAGAAAACTCTTTTATATATATATATATTTAAATCCGTTGCTCTGATTACACAGATACCCTGTGGTGCTCCAGATAGAGGGATTTACTACAAAGAAAGAAAGAAAATTGGTGTCTTTCCCCAGTTCGTAGTGTTCCTTCAAGAATTTATGAGAAGATAGATGGACAACTTATTGTTGTCAGAACCAACTGAGGTAAATATGGTTTGTAGAGGTTATGATGAGCAGGTTGGGAACAGGTTGTCAAAACTGACTTCAATCTTCTTTATTATTGAAATTAAGAGGACCCGACCCCTCCTTTAGAAAAGTTTGGTCAGATCATATGTTTTTATACGACCGCAAAAATTTTTTGCAGTCGTATATTGGTATGACGTTGGCGTCGGCGTCGTCGTCGTCGTCGTCGTCGTCGTCGTCCGAAGAAACATTGGTTTTCGTACTCTAACTTTGGGTCTCCTGTAGATGGTGATCGCAATACTGGTATACCAGTATTGTAATTTTTTTTTTAAAAACAGCAATACTGGTACATTACTGATATACCAGTATTGTAGTTGTATTGTTCACTATACTTTAAGGTGTATAATGAAAAATGAATTTTAAGCAAAATTAGACAGTCAGGGATATAACTCTATAGGGTTATTACAGAAAATAACTTGCATGTGTTATTACAGATACTTTCATGAGTTGTCTACTCTTTAATCCTTAAATTTTCTAAATCTGTAATAACATATGTTTGTTATTTGTAAAATAAATCATAAATATTTTAATTTTTAGTGGGCTCTAGGGTACTCTTGAAACTTTGCGCAGAGACTAAATGCATAGCCTTGATTACTAATTTTTGAATTATATTTAATACATTTTTCATTAACCATGGTAAATCAATGAGACAAGGCTTTTAATGAATAAACTTAGCTGTAATAACAAGGCATGTAACTTATAATATGAGACACTTGTGAATTACTGGGAAGCTTGCGCAGAACCTCATTACATGCTCTGATCATTATTCCTTACAATAAATTAAAAGACATTGTAATTAAGCATGATGTATGTCTGAGCAAATGCTTTGGAGTGAATTAGAGAAGCTGTAATAACACCCTTTAGTTATTACAGGAATATTTTTTCTCAAATAACATAGGTGTATTATGCATGATTGGCAAACTATGAACTGTTATATATTTCTATAGTTAAGTATACATAAAGACAATAGTAATATCAGTAGAACTTGTATACATTTTAACAAAACTAATGATGTATATTGTCCCTTTGAAACATGTAACATACATGTGTTATCACAGTTCTTTGATTTTTTAGTCCACAATAACAAATGTATGTTATTTTTCTGTAATAACCCTATAGAGTTATATCCTTGACTGTTAGATATTGAAGATCAAAGGGTGATTAAATGAACTCAAAAAGATTATAGAGGATAATTCTGAAAACAATTAACGGGTACCACGATTTCGAGAAGTACAAGAACAAAATAATATCCTGAAAACAAACTGATTTGTCCCGATAACAAGATTTTACATGATGTTATACTGCTTAAATTAGTGTATCAGCATACAATTATAAGGTTTAAGACGTTTTAGTCGTGTATAATCAATAAAAGTACAAGTTATCTTCAGGAAGTCGATTTGTATGTCTTGTATGCAAATTCCTTGTTGAAATCAATATGGCGGACTAATTATTCATAAGGTAGATAATTCGACTTGAAAGCAAAGTACTGTGGTACTGTTGTCTCTCTCAGGATTTTTGTTGTTGAATTTCGGCAATTTATTTGTGATTTGATGTATTATCTAATTGTGATAATTTTGCAACTGATCTGTGTTGATGCTATTTTATTAATGTTAATGAATGAATTTATGTTTGACTCATTGACATAATACCACAATTACGTATGTTTCTCTCCGGTTATATCAAATAAGAAATATAGAGATCAGATTATTTATTTCAAGTACAAATTCAATGTATACAATGGTATAATATACAAGAAATTTATCCAAAAAAAATGAAGTACAATATATTTTTACATAGTCTACTATAGTTTACTTATATTTTTGAGAAAAAAACAATATATTTTATTTTCTGTAATGTTAACTAAATTGAGCAAAATTATATAAACATGTTCTTCGTATCCGCTAATATGTTGAACGTTTTAGTACTCGGTCATAGCTATGTTGAACATTTGAGGCGTTTGTGCGAGGATAAAGGGAAACCCCACAAGTGGGAGGACCCTTCCAATGCTCGTGGAAAGGTTAATTACTGCAGTTGAATCAGGCCTATTTGTACATTATGCGCCTCATGTGGTCATATGTCAAATTGAATCAAACGATTGCAGTAATTTACAATTTGATGAGACTGCTTTCGAAAAGGACTTAGATACTTTTATTGGAGCTTGCCTTTTGAGGGGAGTTGCAATTGTATTCATGTCCATTTTGCAGCGGTCTAGATTTCGCGTCCGACTCACTCCCGAAATATACAATGCCCGAAGAGACGTAGTTAATCGAATGATGTTGAACAAAGCTGTTCAAAATCCTTTAGTTTTTTTTTTCAAACCGGTCAATGTATATCGAAAGGAGTACGAGGCGTCAGATGGAGTGCACTTTACGGAGGAAGGGTACCGGGCCTTACTTCACGCTCTGAAAAAATCACTCAGTTGGTTTATTAACCGTGTTAGTAGACGAATTGATTGATTTTTTTAAAGCGACGTTCCAATGACAGTTACTTAAATGTAAATATGTACTTTATGCTGTAAATACGTTTTTGTTTTATTTACTGTATTATTTATTAATATCGTTTAACAATCATTTGTATAATTCATATTATGACATCGTATTATATATATATAATTATGTATTAATTGAAGAAAAATTATTGCATTGTGTAGAGTTGTTTACTGTTCACCTGCATTATTATAAATTTGTTTATTTGTCATTGCTTGAACCACATGTGTGTACTTTTGTAATACAGACTGTAAATAATAGGATTAAAATGTACTGATGTCATTAAGGGACATCAATTGGAAATATATTAATTATCTTATTTCTGGGCGTTTCAATTTAACAATGAATATACATGTCATAAGTGTATATACTAATTAACAAGTTATTGCAAAAGGTGCTGGACACGTGTCTGTAATCGCTGTTAAGTGGAAATATCATAAAGACATAATATTATGTTTTAAATCAGGTATTGCATAATGTTTCCTTCTAAATTTTAATTACATAAATCAATTTCGAAGATAGATAGATAGATAGTTTATTAACGTCTCACCATTAATATACACAATAAAATATATACATATATCATAAAAAACATAAAAAGATATTAATGCCATTCTTAAAAAAATTCTGAGAAACAAAAAGTAAAAATTCACTAAACATTAAAGGTCTTTATAAAACTGTGTACTTATTAAAATTTCTAAACACAACTCGAAACAATTTTAAAATATCCCACAATTAAATTTTATTTAAACACTGTCCTAATAACATGATATTCATAAGCAATAAGGGTAATCCAATCAATTTTGTTGATTGGATTATTGACGGCTGAGTAATTGTGTAATCAGTGACACGTGCTCTCATTATTTTATAAAAATAATAAATATCTATTTAAGTTCGTTTTCAAAATCTACCAAAATTTACCACTAAAATAAACAGCATGCAACGAATATATACATTCCTCCTGTGTGCATATACGATGACTATTAAGAGTCCTGAGTGCACTTTGTATGTCCTGAGTGCACTCAGGAGGTCCTGAGCAGTGTTTAGACGTACCCCTTTTTATATACAAAGGTTGGTAAAATAATACCAAGCCATTGTCTTCATATTTCTTTGAAGAACAAAATTTGAGGAAATTTAGTATTCTGTATTGAAACAACACCAAGCTTTAGTATAAAAAGAGATATTTTGAGAAAATTGTACAGTAATAACAGCATTTAATCATATAAGAAAACAATATAATTACTAAGATTTTGGAAACATGTTTTTTTAGTTAATAAATTGGACGAATCATAATTAATTGCATTAACAATATTTATTAAACACAATCAGTTTATCATATAAATGTAAAATAAAGGAAATTATTTGATAAGCTTAAATACCCGAATGAAGTTATAATAACTGTATTAACTTTTCATCATTTCAAGTTTTTTTTTATAGAATCTATTCTTTCAGTACTTTCAATACTTTTATTTTTTTTTAAGTTGTCTACCTTTTGAATAATTATGTCCGCCATATTGTTTTCAACAAGGAATTTGCATACAACACATAAAAATCGAATTCTTGAAGTGAAATTGCATTTTTATTGAGTAAAAACGAGTAATATCTATAATTAATATTCTTTAATATTGTTAAAAGTAGTATAACACCATAAAAAATCTTGTTATCGGGATAAATATGTTTGTTTTCGGGATATTACGTTGTTCTTGTACTTCTCGGGAAATCGTGGTACCATCAGTTAACAACCAGTTTAAAATAATTACTATACTTGTACAAATAAACAAAAGATTATTGTAATTAACTCATCTTATTCAAACAATTGTTAATTATATAAATAATTGCTAATAATTTTATCATATTTCTATATTTTATTTAATTCAATTTAGATAAAATAAAATAAAAGCTTTATTATCTGAGTTATTATTTAATAAATTCAAGCAAATTATTACACTATAACACTGTAAATTCAGCATTTACATGTATGCCATCGTATATTTTTTAACAGATATTTTAATACATGTATACTAAGATTCTAAGCATTTGTTTGTCTTTATTTTCTTATTAATCTTTCACAATAAACATGATAAAAGATATATAGCAGATATATCTACTGGTACAAATACTCAAATACTAGACAAGCACTCCTACAGTAAGAGAGCTGTACAGGTGCTATCTAAACAAGCTTGTAATCTAGTAAGCGTAAGAGAAAGTCCACAGACTGAATACCTAAATATCAATATAGGAAGTGGGGGTTGCAGAAATGCCATCTGAAGAAGAAATAAACAATACCAATGCTGATGATACAGAAGCTATAACAGCATTAATGTCAATATAAAATTCACTAAAATATACTATTGAGTCTTGGAAAGAGAGAGCTGGAAGAAAACATAGAAGAAAGTAAAGAGTTTGTTAAAATGCTGAGACAGTACGGTTCCCTTAAGAAAAAAACATCAGAAGATTTAAAACTTTCTTTGATTA